ATCATCAGGCTGCAAGTTTTCTGAATGTTTATGCTGTTTCCATTTTAAAATGGAATGCTTTTAACAACACCCAAGTCACCTTTTAAATGCTTTGCTGCTTAGAAAATTCTTCTACCAGATACCCTAAATCATCTCTCTCAAGTTCAAAGTTCCACAAATCTCTAGGGCAGGGGCAAAATGCCAACAGTCTGTTTGTTAAAACATAACAACAGTCACCTTTACTCCAGTTCCCAACAAGTTCCTCATCTCCACCTGAGACCACCTCGGCCTGGACCTTATTGTCCATATTGCTATCAGCATTTTGGGTAAAGCTATTCAACAAGTCTCTAGGAAGTTCTCACATTTTCCTGTCTTCTTCCGAGTCCTCCAAACTGTTCCAATTTCTGCCTGTTACCCAGTTCCAAAGTCGCTTCCACATGTTCACGTATCTTTTCAATAATGTCCCACTCTACTGGCACCAATTTACTGTATTAGTCTGTTTTCATGCTGTTGATAAAGTCATATCTGAGACTGGGAAGAAAGAGGTTTAATTGGACTTACAGTTCCACATGGCTAGGGAAGGCCTCAGGATCATAGTGGGAGGCAAAAGGCACTTCTTACACGGGGGCAGCAAGAGAAAATGAGGAAGAAGCAAAAGCAGAAACCCTTGATAAATCCATCAGATCTCATGAGACTTATTCACTATCATGAGAATAGAATGGGAAAGACTGGCCCTTATGATTCAATAACCTCCCCATGGGTCCCTCCCACAGTAGGTTAATATTAGGTTCATGCAAAAGTAACGGTGATTTTGCCATTAAAAGTAATGAATGCAACCTTGGGTTGCTGGGAATTCTGGGAGATGCAATTCAAGTTGAGATTTGGGTAGGGACACGGCCAAACCATATCAGGCTTTAACGGAGTCAGTGGTGCCCATATGAGGAAGGGACTGAGGGTCTCACTAGACTTTTAGAATGTAGTGAAACTATGCCCAGAGAAGCTGATTGTACTAACATAAGCTGGTGTGCTCACTTGGAGTTCAGCTTCTGGATATGTCGACGTCCTTGTGAGTTCAAAAATGTAAACATCAGTCCAAGAACCAAAGATGCCCTGACCTTTGCATTAAGTTGGCCATACCCTTCCAGAGGAGACCATGGTAGAAAGCAGAGAGAGCAGGGTGAGACTGGGCAGAGATGGGAATGAGTAATGCTGACTACATCCTACCCCTCCTTCTTTGAGAATTCAGGTTTTAACATCTGTTCTCTAATTCCACAACAAATCATCATCATGCACCTACTGTGTACCAGGCTCTGCGCTGGGTAGTGGGATTCAAGAATGAATGCAACATGGTTCCTGGCCTCAAGGAACTCAAAGTCCTGAAAAAGTCACACTGTAATGACACACACACGCACACACACCCAGCCAGCTCTGCCCAGTGGCATTGAGGAAGGTTTCATGAATGGAGAAACACATCAACTGAGTCCTAAGGATGAGGAATAATTAGTATGTTCCAGAAGGAAGGAACAACAAGTACAAAGCAGAAGCTTTTAAAAAAATGTGTTTTGATGTAGGCAGAGGCAAAAGTCCCCCAGTGGGCTGTTAGAAGTTTCTTGAAGACTCAGATAGTCTTAAAGAGTTCCTCACCAGTTTAACCACTGGCTTCCCACTCCCTGCTGAATAAACTCTTGGTTCAGCAGGCCTGAGGCCTTGGCTACATACCCACACCCTGGTTCATGTAACAGCATGACCTGTGGGCTCAGTTTCATAGCCAAGGACTAGGGCTGGTAGAAGAAAATATAGTTCAATGTATGTAACAGGGCCAGCTGAAACACCTGTCTATTCTGGCAGTGTTCCTTGGTCACCCTAGCCAGAAGCCATTTTGCCCTCCTCTGGTCTCCTATTGGCAACTCTTTGTAGTATTAATTAAAAGCACAATAGTTAAGTGTGGACTCTGGGACCAGAATGCCTGGTTTTGAATTCCAGAATGTCTGGCCTCCACCTCCATATCTGTAAAACAGAGATAATAATGATCCCTACCTAATGAGTGAAGAGCTACCAAACCCTTAAAACACTGCCTGACACATAGCAAATGCTCTGTAAGTGTTATTAGTTACTATTATTGAAGATAACGCAACCATTTATTGAGTATTTATTGGTACTAAGTGCAACGCCAGGCCCTTTACATGCCTTATCATTTTTCAGCACAGGGTGCTGAGTGTCTGAGCATAGAGGATGTTACAATATTAGGTGACTTTAGGGAGGACATTGCTGCTTTCTGTGTAGAAGAAACTTTCGCTCCTGCCAAAGCCACCTAACTCACAGTAAGTTGTGTTTGACCCTGGATCAACATAAACCCCTTGAAGAATACAAACTGTCTCCAAGATGCCAGTGACTCTCACATCCACAGGCTGTTGAGAGTGGATCCCACAGCATCTCACACATAGGCACCCATGTCCTCGATCCCAGACACCCAGCAGATTCTGAAATCCTGATTGTTTTTCCTATACCCAGCAACTGACTTTCTCCATGATCTTGGGAAGGTGCATAATCTGAGCTCTTGCTACCTAACTCATCTTCACATCCAGAAACCCCACTTCGTGCAGTCAGATCTGATCTACGTAGCAAGCTCAGCAGTTAGAGAGACACACTTCCTTCCGACTTTAGACCCTATAAAGCAAACACAAACAATGCAACCCTATGACAGAAGTCATTGGCCTTGGACCAAGATCTTCAGCAGGCCCTCCTTCAGGCTTTCTTCCCATCTCTTCCTGTAACAGACTGCAGAGCTGCCCCCATCCACCGTGTAGCCATTGCAAAGAGGCTCATAGCCTATAAGTGGCTTGTTGGCTGCAGAAATATGCAAACTGTCTTTAGTTTGACTTAGCCATCTATGACTGGTTTGGCTTCAGTTTGCAATGACCCAAGGTTGCATTAATTATTTTCAATAGCAAAACCACAGTTACTTTTGCACCAACCTAATATTAACCTGACCACAGCACCAAACTGTTCATCTTTAACCCTGACAGGCTTGAGCACAGACTGCAAAGTCCAGGGCTCATCCTGACCTCCAGAATTACCTCAGGAGAAATGGATGGCTGGGTTAGAATAGGATCACAGTGATCGGGAGGACCTGGCATGTTTTTAATCCCCTCCATTATGAAGAATTTTGGCATTCTATTCTACTGTGTAACTATATTTGCTTTCTAAGAGACTGGGTTATGACAGCTCAAGAATGACTCGACATTTCTATTCATCCAAAATAAGCAGGCATTTTGCTCAATGGGTACCCCATGACCACCTGAATAAAACCAATATCTTTTCATAACCTCATCCTGAAACACTCTCCAAGCCTGCTGGTGGGTCCAAAGCTGGCCTGTCTTATCCATGGACCCATTCCCTGGAATTCAAGAGGTGCTGCAAAAATGCTGCCTCAAATAGCTCTGCCTGTGGCCCTATATCCCCCATTTGACATTAGTTCACTTAGGTGCAAACATTAGAGGCTGATATTACAGTGTGTTACCTTGGAGAGAAGATGTTCTTTAACTCAGTGCAATGATCAGATTTAAAAGGTCTCCAAAAAGGTCATTATTTCAAACTTGAGAGTCTCTCATGAGAACCTCTACTGTTCTTTCTATCTACTGCCAGCACCTTTTAAGTATTAACTCGCTTACTTCTCATTACAGTGTGGGAGGTGTTATGAGGAAACTGAGGCACAGAGAATTTAAGTAACATGTGGATGTTAGTGAGTGAGTGGCTGCAGTTTGGAGTTTAAACACCACGTTCCAGTGTGTGTTCATCACCAGGCTTCCTTCTGGAAGGGAGAGACAGAGTTGGAGTCTGGAAAATAGCAAGGGAGGGTCTGGATCAGGGGACTGTGAGCAGGCCAGGTTATGTGAGAGCTGACCGAGGATATGGCCTAGAGGCTGATTATGGAGGTTGTGAAAATTGCTATGGAAAAGAAATTTCCAGAACCCAGATTTTGGCTACTTTTGAAAGCACTTTTGAGGTAATACTGTCCTCTAGTGGCTAGGTAGCAGGTAGTGATTACCCTCCAAATAAATAGCCAATGAGCCTTGAGTGGAGATGGTATGACAAGTCAGTGGGAAACTCATTTTGCACTCGAACTACAGATTCCAAAGGAAAGGCAAACCCCACTGTTATGGTCATTGGTACAGCTCAGGATTTCTGCCTCCTCCGCCCCGTGTGTTGGCTACAGGCTAGGTTCAAATCCCAATTCTGCTTATTACTGCTGAAAGGCTTTGGTCATGTTAATTAACCTCATTTTCTCTTCTGAAAAAGAGACAGTCTTGAAAAGATTGACCTTCCGTGAAGATCAAATGAAGTAACACGTGTAGTGTGTCTGGCACGTCATAAGCGCATCACACACGTGAGCTGTGGCAATACTAAGGAGCAGTGGCAAGAGCTGGGGGAGGAGTGGAGACAAACGGACCTGGACAAATTAGTGACCTTTCTGGGACCCCTACAGAACTGTTCTGGAGAAATTAATTCTATTTTTCCAGGTACTTTTAAGTTCGCTTTTCCTAGCATTTCTTGTATATTCCTGAATAATTTTCCACTCAAAAATTTCACTGCTTCTCCCTGCCTCCCATATTAATCTAGACATAATTAATTTCCCCAGAACAGTTCTGTGGGCAGGGAAGGCTCTACACTGTGCATCCTCCATCCCAATCCCCAAAGCTCAGACCGTCCTGGCCTGGGTCCCCACTGCTCTCCCAGGCTGTGCTTGCTCTTCTCCCACCCTAACCCCATCACCACAGAAAGCTCCTCCTTCTCCAAGTAATTTCCTACCTGAAATCACCCACTCCCTACCTCTAACAATCTGTGATAAGCAGAGGACAACATAAAGTTTGAGGGAAAAGAAATCATTTGTTCACTTTGAAGTTTAATTTTGTAATAAACTTCACTTAATTCTGAAGTAAATTTGCAAAGCCAGCAAAATTCTTTCAAAGTCAACCTTGCTCAGGCCTAGTTGCTTATTTACTGCTAAGCTGGATGTTTTCATTAAAAGATTAACTTTGAGCCTTCAGCCTCTTCTTTAGCATGAACTGTGGGTAGTGGTGTGTTTCCTAACACCTCCGGCAGTGAGCCAGGCTTTGAGTGACTGTGTCTAAACACCGCTTTCCCTGAGGACTGGAAGATGTTAGAATCAGGTTTGTCATTGAGTGTGTTCTGTGTGCTTGGAACTGAGAAAGGAGATGAAGTGCCAGGTGGGATGGGAATGGGAGATATCGTGGAAGCCAAGTGTGAGTTTGCAAGGCAGGGAGCTTGGCAAAGACAGTCCTAGGGAGACAGGTGTTAGGGAACTCAGGTAGCATGAGCAAAGGAAGATTTGGTTTCAAAGAGGATATAGACAGAGAAGCTTAAGTCTAGGAAGTTGAGTCTTAGAATTGTATGGAGGAATATCTGTGGGTGTCTGTAGGAAGAAAAATCGGTTAAAATGTTTCCACTTGACAGCGTTCTGAAAACCTAAAAGGTATGGCGATTGCCTTCAGGGATATATTTAGTATTTTGACCACTGCTTCCTGGCCACAAGCAAAAGAAAACAGTGACATGGCCATGTTCCTAAAAAAGCAAAGAAGTCACTGTGTCTCAAACAATGCAGTTCCTTTGATCAATAAGCTTATTTGGAACAAATAGGTTACAAAGTGCCTCGAATGAAGAGCCTCTGATTGTGTTAAGTTGAATCTACAGATCAACCTGGAGAGAACTGCCAAGAACACTAATGAAGACAGGGAGGTACTGGTATAAAGACAGATAATAGATCAGTGGAACAGAATAGAGAGTTCATTAGTAGGAAGCAAAATCCCCAAACTTTTATTCTTAACTACTACTATATTCTGCATTTTGCAAGATCCTTCAATTCTCACAAGATCACTATGAGACAGATTGTAATATCCTAATTTAAAGATAAATGAGAATTGGAGCTTGTCTAGAATAGATTGAGTGGAACATCATTTGTGGCATATCATTTGAGAAGTAATGGGAATATTGCCAAATTTCCAGGTAACTCCCCCACCAAAGGCACTTCTGTTATACTCTACATCGTATCAGTTATCAAATGACGAGCTATTAAAGTCTGTCTTCTTCGACTGTAAGCTTCTTGAGAGCAGAAACTTATGTGATAAAGGCTTTTCCCCCCATATCTCTAGTGTTTAGCATAATACCTTGATATATTATGTTAGATTAAGCTATGTTATAGTAAAGAATAAACCTTGACAACTTAGTGAGGTAACACATAAATATATATTCCTCCCTCGTACAATATCAACTGATCTCCAGGGCTACTTTTTTCTGAATGGCGTTTTGGGAATCCAAGTGGCCTTTCTCTTGCAGCTCTGTCTTCTTGAGGATGGAGGATCACTGTAGAGGAGGAAACAAAGCTGGATGGTCACATGCCAGCTCTTCAATCCTTGGCCTAGAATTAACACCTGCTATTCCCACTCCCAGCCCATTGGCCAGAAGAACTAGTCACAGAGCTGTGCCTGTATTTAAGCAGCAGGGAATGTTAAGCACATGGGGAGCAGTATATGCCTCTGCTATCCTGGCTGAGAGTGTGTGTCAACAAACCTTCTTGGATAAACTAATGAGTAAATCTGACAGAGGGTTTAAATTATACTATGACAGAAATACTCAAATCCTGAAGCAGCTTTCCACTTCCAGAGCCTCAGATGAAATCATACATGTCATCAACAGGAGGAATAATGAACATGGAGCTGCCTTTATTGACAATCTAGTCTATACAAGGCACTGTTTTAGAAATTTCAAAGGGACCATAGTGCTTAGTCCTCATGGTAGCCCTATGGGATGGATGTTAATATTCTCCTTTAACAAATAAATTTTGCACGGAACCGTGGTGAGCAAGTAGTAGAGCTGAGATTTCAGCCTATGTTTGCCAAGTGCCAAAGTTTATGATATACTCTATCTTCTCTACTCCACTGACTCCCTCAGGCAGAGTTCCTTGGGCACAGTCGATCGGTGGACAGCAATGGCCTTCAGAAACACAATCTGGGTAGTTGCCATAGACAGAGATGCCAGGAGGAAGGCAAAGAGAGAAAAAAACTGCACTTCATAGCTGGGCTCTTCCATCCCCAACTGCTCTGGCCTTTCTCCTCTCCTCCTGCTATCACCCAGTGATTGCCACTGTGAGATACAGTTACACCTGTAAGACCTGAAGACACTAGTGGACAGAGTGGAGGGCAGAGCCTGTTTTGGAGCTTTGTGTGGATGCTGATGTCTGTTTTGCACATTCTATCCTTGTTGAGCAGATGAAGAGGCAGGGGCAGTGATCTCACAGTATCACATAGAACTCCTTTCCCAATGGCCTGGATTTTGTGGGAATTGACCAAGCTCACTTTATGCAGCTCTCTGACCATTCAGAACAGAGACTTAAATGTCTCCTCCATACCACTAACACTCTATACTAGTTCAAAGACACTGGAAACAAGTCAGAAGGATTCCAGGTCAGGCTTTGCCATTTCTGTTGCATGAGTTTGGATAACTCATATGGATTCTCCGAGCTTTAGTGTTTTCATCTATAACATGGGGCTTATACATAGAGTCTCTGATTGCCCACTGGATTGTTGTAAGCAGCAAATGGAATAGCATATAGAAGAGTGCTCTGTAGACTGTTAAGACAGATTTAAACATAAGAGGTTATTTTTTAGTGATTGGCTGAATAATGAAGATTTTTTCTGATTGAGTTATGATTTTTTTTGAGGGAAGAAAGCAAAGTTGCATATGTCCATGACATTTTAATCCTCTAAGGTCTGTGCCAACTCTGTCGTTCCATAAACCACACTTGGCTGTGCCCATTTTCTTCTTTCTATGGTGCTTCAGAGCCAGGCCACTGGAATCGTGACACATTACTAGACATGTAATATTGAACAAAGTATTTTAACCTCCTGAACTTCAGATTTCTCACCCATGAAATGGGGATGATAATATTTGTGTTGAACATTTCAACAAGGATTAAAACAGTCATGCATGTAACGCAATTTACACAGTGCATGGCACATCATGAAGCACTTGATAAATGGTTGCAATATTATTGTCATTATTATTATTCATATTAAGGAGCCGTCATGCTGTCTCCAAGGTTCTTTGCATAATCAAATTATTCCACTGTTTGAAATAATAAGAAAATCCTCAATCTTTCAAAACACTATATAAACATTTGGATCAATGTCTCCCAGTATGCCCTAAACTATTTTCAACACCCTATGGGCAGCACACAATTTACAACATGGCTGAGTTCCAAAACTCTACTTGGAGGGCATTTGTTTGAAACTCAGAACAGATTTTCCCATAGAAAGAATGCTATTAAAATAGCGGTTGGATTCCCAAGTGACTGAAATACCCACTTGATTCACAAAATAGAAGATCTGGCATATTTGCAATGCAAATTAACATGAAACAATGTTATTGTATTGCTGGTCATTAACCAAAACTGAAAACTAAGAAAATTGTGTAATAAATCATTTAAAAAATTTTCTTGTATATGCAGCTGATGAAGAAAAGCAGGCTTAATTAGAGGAAGAGAGAATTGAGTGGAAATGTCAGTAAGAAATATTAAGATGACCTAGCCGGGCAAGGTGGCGGGCGCCTGTAGTCCCAGCTACTTGGGAGGCTGAGGCTGGAGAATGGCGTAAGCCCGGGAGGCGGAGCTTGCAGTGAGCTGAGATCCGGCCACTGCACTCCAGCCTGGGCTACAGAGCGAGACTCCGTCTAAAAAAAAAAAAAAAAAAAAAAAAAAGATGTCTCTGAGAGTACTTTCAAAGGTTTTTGAAGTTCTTTGCTAGGTCTAATGCGCCTTCAAAATTGTTTCACTTTGTTCTTCTTGACACAAGGGACTACATAGCACAATTATTTTTGGTTTGCAAATGAAAAAGGAAAGGAGATGGGAGAGATTAGGAAAAGAGAAGAAGGGGTGAGAAAGATTTCCCTGAGAAGGCACTCAATAGTTTGGGGAAATTGAGAAAGGAGGAAGAGGCACATCTATGTAGTAAAATGGATTTCAATTACCTGGTCTGACAGCAGGAAAAACAGGTGGTGTGACAGATCATATCCTCTTGTAAAAGGGAATGGTGACAAGATTGGTCAAGTAGTTATTCTCTGAAACCATAAGGTGGTGCCATGGGACCAGAAAAGTTCATGAAAAGCAAGCCCTCAAGGCTGGGGAGGAGGAGCAAAGGCAGGCTTGAGCATCCAGCTGTTTGGTGTTGGCAAATATGTCTAAATATTGTGCTGGTTCCCTGTTCTATACTTTATTGCCATGAAGTAAATGTTGAATTAGAATGTTCATATGAACTCATCGAAATAGCTCCTTGTATTTATGGGCCAAGAAAGCACAGAATACGAGTACTTGAAGGACCTCAGCTCAGCTTTTAATTTCAGGTGGCTTCAAATCTATCATGGATTAAGCTGAAATATACAAAAATGTATATTTTCTCAAATGAGGAAACTGAGACTTGGAGAGAAGACATGTAGCCTGCCACTGTTCAAATAACAAATAAGTGTTAGTAACGATCTCCCTTGAAGCAGCCTGCCTCTCAGGTTGCCACACGCACAACTCCACTGACTGGATGAAGCAAAAATTTATTCTATACCTCCAACTTCAAGTGGAGCTCCTTTTGCTGGCGTGACTAAACAGGGTCAGAAGGAGTAGAGGTGAAAGTGGAATGATAAAATCTAGTGTAGATGAGTTGAGTCTCTAGAAATCTTAGGTCTGTGCTGAGAAGCTAATTCTCAAGTAAGGAGAAGCTAATTCTAGGTTTTGCCAGGCTATCCACAAGCAATTGCAAGAGTCATATTGTATTTCAGAAAGAACCCTAAATGTGGAGACAGAAGAGCTGGATTCATTTATTAGCTGTGCTACCAAACTTGTGCACATCTCTCTGTCTCTCTAGGGTCCCCCTTGGCTCCATCAAGCAAGACTGTTCTCATAGCCTTCCAATCCTCAATAGGCAGGATGTGTGGGAGGCAGAACAGTGGTAGGTAATTGCCTAATTAGGTCACTATAGCTTCAGAGTGAGCATGTCCTTAACATAAACGTGCCCGCCACCGCAAACCTCAAAAACTCTTTCAATCCATGACACACAAAGCTCCTAGAGTAAAGCAAAGATATGAGTCACTCCCCTATCATGACTAAAGA